CCAGATCTGGCAAGAAAGCATATGCTTTTCCAGACACATAGAATCCTAAACATATACACCCTTAAGGGACAGAGAGTGGCATTTAAGCTAGGAATGTTTGCCCAGTTGAAAAACAGGAGGTTGAAAGGGGACAGCTATTTAAAAGTCACTCTGATATCACCTGTTCCCCAAACAATTCATTTCAGGGTCACAGCCATTGTTGCTAGGTGGCATAACATTTATTACTATAGTGTCCTGGGCTCCTTAGATTGGTAGCAGACACGTCTATTCCTCAGAGCATGAGCAAAGTTGATAACGTCCTCTTACCCTTGGCAAGCTGAACTTCAACTGCCAAGATACTGGTTGACATTAAGACTTTGCAACACCCATCATTGTCTGTCACCTCCCAAGATAAACTCTCTTGTGACTGGTTTCTCCCAGCAACAGCCACTGATGCCATTTTATTCAATCTCTTTTGTAGACTAGCTCCTGGGTCCCTGACACTTCCTGGATTGCTCAGTTTGGTCATATGCTCAAAGCTAAACTCACAGACCTCCAGACCTCATAGTGTGATGGGATAGGAAATAATCAGAGGACCTGGACAGAGTAAGACTGTCAGAGAAACTGCAAATCAGCAAAAGAATGAAAGCCACTTGACCCTGAGCACATCTGCCACGTATTTAACTCCACGTTCTTGCCAAGCCCTGAAAAGCCAGGCTGGGGAGTCTGGGGAGTGGCCTGGGGTTATGCAGTCTAGGAGAGCGTAGAGGTGAAAAGCCTGGCGGGTTGCCGCTTATGCAGTCCACTCTCCGGGAAGGAACCAGGTCGGGGAGGGGACGCTGTGAGCCATGAGGATAGTCTTGGACACAAATGTTAGGGGCTGCGGGAGTGTCTGGGTGACCAGCCGCCAATTGTACTGGATTGATTTTATTTGCCTGTTACTTTGCCAGCTGGCTCCAGACCAGAGGAAGCAAATGAGGCTTTAGCCGTTGTTTGGGGTTCTGATCTCAGGGCTACATTAAAGAGATGTGGACGTTTGGGAGGAAGTGACCCTGTGAGATCCTGGGTGAATCTTCATTTCCATATTCCAGGGTCAAATTGAAAAAAGGCCAGGTATAGAAAGGTTTTGTTTTAGGAAATGCCCGAAGGACCTTCCTGGTAGAGCTCCACCTACTTCTCCAGCCTCATTTCCACTCCTTCCACCCAACCCCACCTCCCCCTGCCCCACACACACTTTTCGCTCGAGGAAGTTGGAGGATCGACTTTCAGTTTCTCTTCCCTGCTCTTTACTCTCCGTCTTTCTCATCCAGTTCAAATCTCATTGTCTCTTGGGTTCTTTTCTGGTTTTCCTAATCTGAATTAGTTTACCCTTTCTAGGTCTCCCTTAGCATCCCTCATATCGTTTATTACATGAGATGCTAGAATAATTAATTTATTAATCTTTCCTACTGGACCAAAAAGTATTGGAAGGTAGAAATTCTCTCTTTATATTCCCTTCTGGTACATGGTCCTGATTTGGTCAATGTTTGGTGAGAAGATGGCATTCTTATGTTAGACACTTGTTTGTGGTACAGACCTGGGCCATGGACCTGTGGTCATGGTGACAGAGTGTGCGTGATGGATGCAGTAGAAGGAACTTGTATGAAGCTGCAGGGCTTCATGCACAGCATTTTTTAAAAACCAAAGTGGCCTCAACTGATTTTTTAAAATTTCAGTTGCTATGGTATATTCTTTTGAGGAGGTGAAACCAGGGGTGCAAGATGAGCAGCAAGATAGCCGTACATATTCCTAGCACAGGAAACTTGGCCATCTTGGAGATGCCAGCAGGAATTCCACCCACTACAACTGCTCCATACTGAATGCACATATGCCAACCAATCAAATTTTTTCTTGGGAAGAATAAAGGAAAGTCAAAGATCAGAGATAATAATGCCCTGAAATATTCCATGTGGAATATTGGATTGCAGTTGGAAGTGATGTGTGTCACTTTTCTGCCAAAGCATAGAAAAATAGGCATGAATTCTCCAAAGACTTGATTCCTTGCTGTGCTGATCATGGGGGACTCATGTTGAGATGGCAGAGCAAGAGGATCAAAGCAGCCTGGATTGCTGAGTCACTGCATGGAGAATAGATGCCTTGGAGAGTTGCCCCAACCCACAGCTGAGTTTGCATGAGTGAAATTTAAATGTTTGTGGTCATAAGCCACTGAGCTTTGGGGTGGCAAATGACCTATCCAGACTAGAGCAGGCAAGTTGTTCTAAAACTTTCTTGCATACTTATGAAGTAGCACTACTCAGTGCCAGAAACACTGAGAGGATTGTGATGTCATCCATTGGTCTACTGTCTCTTCTTCATGGTAACCAATATGCACCTTACTTTGAGGGCCCAAGGAACCTGGTAGGCTGACAGGCTCAGAGAGAATTCAGTGAGTGTGTTATGGAAAATTCAAGGGAAATGCAGTGACATATGGGCTATAAACATCTGTGCACATTCCTTACACAAATTCTTGAATTACAGCCTCGCAAATCAGTCATCAGATGGCAGAGACGGAGATAATGGAGGGTAGTAATAGGATCAGATATTTAACCCTTTTGGATTTCCCATCATAGGCCTTTTAAAGGCCCCATCCTCGACATCATTATTTGACCTCTTACATGGGATCATTACTTAATACTTCTTAAATACTTAATAATTACAAACTCTTATTTGGTGCAGAGCTGTTTTCTTGGCCAGGCTCCTGAATATATCCATTCTGTATGGACATTGGTCAGCATTCATGGGCCACTATTTACTGATTCAAATGCCAGACCTCCAAATAGAGTGTGTTCAATAGAGTTCGAATGAACAAATTCATTGCACTCCTATCTTAGCTCACCTTAGATCTTAAAAACACAGAATTCACTAGCCTGAGCTAGAAAAAGTAATTATCTTTAAGTAAAAACAGCTACCTGGTTGTCTACAGCAGGCTCCATCAGAAATATTCTAGAATTTCTTTTCATCAGAAATAAGTAATTATTATATAGAGCTAGAAGGGAAAAAGAGTTTGATTTGCAAACAACCTTAAAACACACAGCTCTCTCTCTCTTCTCTAACTCTCTGTAAGCACCGTGAGGCATTTCCTATTAAAAATTTCAGCTCTGCTTCTTATCACCTTTGCCCTCTTCTCTGCTCTGACTTTAAATTCAGGAGATGGTTTCCCTGGGGAGCATAGATCCTAGTGCCATGTGATATGGCCTAAAGGGTAGTATGACAAAGCAAAACAAAAGGAGATGCTAACCTTGCTTTCTCCCATCCAGGGGCCCCCCCCCCCCCCCCCCACTGAATGCCAGGGCCTTGTAGTGAGTGAGGCTGAACAATCTCGGTGAGACTGATTCTGAACTGGAAAGGGAACATGGAGTTAGCAAAATTTCTGGTATTTGAAAGGGACTGGTGAATAATGGACGCTTTTAAATGGTTTTTGCTATTTTTATTGTTTTTTACTACAGAATTAATACTTGCTCATTATGGAAAAGTAAAAAACATATAGAAAATTGAAAAGAGAGAAAAATCATTTTTCAATCTAACCACATAGATACTGCTATTAAAACGTTGGCTTGAAACCTTTCTCTCCGAGTGTGTTTGTGTGTGTATCTGTGTATGTGTGTCTGTGAATTCATGTGTATTCAAGTATAATTATCTATAATTATATATTATTAGTATTATCTTCATAACTTAATATTAACTATTTTAACAAATCAGAATTTCCATTCTGGAGGCAACTATATAAAGAAAAACAATAAATACAATACAATTAGGAAAATATCTTAATATATTGCTCAAAGTTGGACAGTGTGACACCAAACTCATGATTGACAAGAGACAAGTAGACCAAAGAGATGGCCAAAGTGCAGATATTCAGAGATTAGAGATGGAGCTGTAAAAGTGGCAGAGGGACATTTTGAGACATTTTAGGAAAATCTAACATTCATTTGGATTTTTCTTTTCTGTGGAATTGAAGTGTCATTCTTCCTGCGATTTCCTCAAATCTCCAGTGCCTTCAGGGATGCTTTCTGGAAGACATCAGGGAAAGATGCTCTGTCCCACATCCAGGGGGATGTGCTGGGACATAAAGCCGGGGTAGCACAGAGAAGGACAAGATTGCACACTGACCTGCTTCAGCAACAGCACGAGCTCAGAGCCAAAAAGAATGAAGAAAACAGGAAGCTGTCACCCCCTGTTTCATGAAGTCCTGGACCTGGGGAAGAGCATCTCTAGAGAGAAAAGGAGAAAGGGAGAGAACCTGGAATGGGTTTGGAGTGAACTTAATGTGAATTCCAAAGGGTAGGGTGGCTTGGCCTTCACCTAGATTACATGCAGATCCTTTTAAAAGTGGTATGTTATTTCACACGCTACAGATTTTCACGTAACAAATATTTCAAGGCCATCCATGAAAATTGATACCCATAATCATCATGTTAATGTGGCTGTGAGAGGGATTGGCTATGTAATTATGATAGATGTTACTAGTATTCATCAATACCTGGTTCTCTCTCCTGGATATATGGAAGACCCCACTTCTCACCCCCTTGCAGTTGGGCATGGCCATGTGACTAATTGTGAGCAGAAGCGACCAATGCTCCTTATTGGCTGAAGGAGCAAAAAGACCACATGTGAATCTCCAGTTTCCCGCTGTACCGTCTTAGTAATCATGGAAGAGGCCTTGCGTTGAGATGATAGCGCCACAAGATGAGAGTGGTTTGGACTGCTCAATCATCACATGGAGGACAGCTGCCTGTAATGTCATCCAGACTTTATGTGGGCAGGAAATACATTTTTGTTGGTCAAGCCACTGAGATGTTTGGTGTTACTGCAGCATTAGTAAGCCTACCCTGACTAATATGTTGGTCACCAAATCCATTTCCTCCTTTTGCTGGGTACTCAGCCAGATTCCTTTCCCAGCCTTCCTCAACTTTGTGACTGAATTTTAGCCCATAGATTGTGAACAGAAGCTATGCACGTTACTTTGGAGATGAGATGAGTAAGAAGTGGGTACACCTTCTCTCCCCTTTATGTCTTCCTGCTGAGGGCCATGAAGCCTAGGAGAGGAAGGAACCCCAAGTTTAAAAGGATATGGATCCTTGAAATACTTCTTGGAGGACAGCTGCCTGCCATTCTGAAATGTTTGCGCCAGCTTCATGTGAGTAGGAATAAATTTTTATCATGCTCAATCCATTGCAATTTTTGGTGTTGCTTACAGGAGCAGCTAGCATTACCTTAACTTTTAAAGAAATTGGTACTTTGAAGTGGAGTGCTTCCATAACCAAAACCTAAAGTGTATGTCATCTGACTTAGTGGTGAAATGGCAGACAGCAAGAAAACTAGCAGTCTAGAAGCCTCAGTAGTACTCCATTACGCATTGGCAAAACATTTGGTAAGACTGTTGCCTGCAATAACTTGGAAGGCTAACCATGTCCATACCAAGACTGTTAACTCAGGGAAATTGTTGGAAAGAGTCAGTATGAGTATGTGGTGGCTATCATAATCTGATTTTAACCAGATTTTATAAGAAAAAGATATGCTGCAGCTAGAACTGGCTCTTTTTCAAGCAGAGATGAAAGACACTCCTGAGAGTTCATTTTGGACTTAATGGGCAAGAGAATTAAATTTCTATCATGTGGACATTTTTGGTTTTGTTTTTAAAACAGATATCCTTAATTTAATATGGCTATATAGTATTTTATTGTAGGAATATATCACAATTTGTTTAAAGGAACCCCTGTTATGAACAGTTGGCATGTTTCCAGTTGTTTTGCGATGTAAAAAGCCCCACTTTAATCATCCTGATACTAAGTTTTGTCCATTTGTCTGATTATTTTATTACAATTTATTCTTGTAATTGAAAATGTAGGGGTAAAGAATATGGATATTTTAAATTTGATGTATTTTGCTTGTGTCCAAACTAAATATACATCATTTTGAAATCCCACCAGCATAGCCTCATCAAAGGCATTATCAGTATTTTCATCTTTAACATAAATGAGCAAAAAGTATGATGTCTCATTGTTTTCATTGTTTTCCTCATTGTTTTCCTCATTGTTAGTGAGGTCTAACATAATGTCATACGTTTGTTTACTCATTTATGTGGACTTCTCCCTTGAGATTTCTGTTTTATTTATAAGGACTCAGTTTAGTTTGCGACTCTTCTGCTTTCTGCCTGTTTTTCCAGTCTAGGTATAAATAGCACTCAATTTCACTCCCAAAGTACCCTGGTTTGGACAATAGATTATATGGTCACCCTAGATATAACCCCTTAGTGTGAGAACATGTTGCTATTTTCCCTCAGGTTATCATTTGTCAAATTTAAAGTTTGATTAAATTTTTGTTATACATTTTGCCCATTTTTTTCTTTATGATTTCCAGCTTCAGTATCATGTTTTGAAAAATTTTCCCCATTCTAAGGGATAGAAATAGCCACTAGGTTTTCTTCTATTAGTTTACTATTTCATTATTTACATGGCAGTACAACGTTCCTCCCTCACCTTCTTCAGACTTTACTTAAAAGTCACCATTTCCATTGAAATTGTACCCCACGCCCAGCAACTGGGGAAACACTAACTCTCTGCTCTGTTTTCCTCCATAGCGCTTGTCACTGTGTAACCTACTACATATCTCACTTACTTAATTGTCTTATTGTCCCCTCCAACCTCCATTAGGATGTAAGCTCCACGAGGGTGGGAATTTTTGTCTTTTTTGTTAACTGTTTTATCTCTAGGAGCTAGAACAGGCTTGGCATCTTGTAAGTGTCCAACAAAACACTTGTTGAATGAATGAAATTAAATCTTCAACCCACCTGAAATTTATTTTGTAGTAAGATATAAAGTAAGTACTCAGCTTACTCTGTCCTTTCCCTTACTGAATTAAAATCCCCCTTAGCATATACTGAATCTGTATATCAGCACTATATGTTCTGTTACATTAATTAGTCTCTATTCTTTCACCAGCATCACATTTAAATATATATATATATATATATAGCATTAATCTACATTGTAATGTCTTATAGGACAAATTCTTCAATAACCTTGTTTATTCTTTAGTTTTTCTTATATTTGTTCTCAAATATTTACTCTTAAATATAAAACTTAGAATATTTGTCATGTTCTCATAGATACCAAATTAGGGAAGGGGATTGGGAGAGTGTTTAAATTATAGATTGATGTAATGAAGATTTATATCTCAAAGTCCTGAGATCTCTTGCCTAAGATAAGATGTGAATCTCTATTTTTCAAGTTTCTTTGTATTAGTTATGGGAACACTAGCTGCTGAAACAGATAACTTCTGAATACAATGGCTTAACACAAAAAGTCCAATCAGGGTTCAAGGGACTACATTCTACTTCATAATTTAGGGGTCAAACCTTCTTCTGTGTTTTTATCCTGGCTCTCTCCTCCCATGCTTTAGAAACATTTGCCAGCAGATGGGGAAAAAAGGTGAATAAAGTGTACCTGTTTCTTAACTACTCCAGCCCAAAATAGACACATATTTCCACCTTAGGTCCTCACCGATGTTCAAAAGAAATAAAAGAAAAAAAATCAGAGGAGTTAGATCTGGAAAAAAAAAGACAAAGCAGATATTATTTTTACATGATAGGATCTTCTATATAGAAAAAAAATAATCCATAGACTTTACAAGTACAGGTTGCTTGATTTGAGATCAATTTATAAGAATCAGTAGCATTTTTTCCTACATCAGTAATAATTAAATAGAAAAAATACCAGAAATTAGCTTTCATAATAGTAAAAACAAAACCAAACAAAACCAAAGAACCTACAAAACTCTACTGAACATAAGAATACCAGCAAATACTTAAGATCTCTATGGGGATGTTCTTCTTTCTTTAAATGAGGATTACTGCCTTTTAATTGGAGTGTTTAGCCAATTTACATTTAATGAAGTCATCAGTATGCTGTTTGTTTTCCATTTGGCCAATGTGTCATTGTTCCTTTCTTTTCCTGCTTTCCCTGCCCTCTTTGAATTGATTATTTTAGGATTCATTTTATCTCCACCATTGACTTGCTAGCTGTATGTCACTGTTTTATTTTTTTAGTGTTTGTTCTAGGTTTTACAGTATACATCTTTAAGGTATCATACTCTATCCTTAAATAATATTATACTGCAGGTGTGCTTTCATTTTCATCTTCCCATCCTTGTGTTATTGTTTTCATACAATTTATTTCTCTGTATGTTATAAATCTTACAGTTCTTTTTTTTTTTACTAAAAAAAGTAATCATTTATTAATGCTTGTGGATTGTGGGTTCATAGGTCAGCAGGGTAGTACTTCTGATCTGGGCTGGGCCTGGCTTGTCTCAGACGGGCTCATTTTTGCAGCTGTTGTTAGCTAAAGGGGCAGCTGGGATCAGCAGGGAGTCTGGATGATCGAGGATGGCTTCAGCTTGGATGACTTGTCTCTGTTCCACATGGTCTCTCATCCCCCAGTAGGTGAACCTAGGTTTAGTGTTCTCCTGGCAGAAGTAACATTCCAAGAGGCAAAGGAGAAATGTTCAAGGACTCTGGGGGCCTAGGCTTGTAACTGGCACACTGTCAATTCTGCTGAATTCTGCTGGTCAAAGCATGTACCAGAGTAGGAAAACAAACTCCACTTCCTGGTGGTAGAAGCTCCAAAGATACATTGCAAAGGGAAGGATGAAAAACTGAGGCGATTTTTACGCTCAATCTGCTACAACTCCTTTAAATTTCTATATACAAACATAAATATTTATGTGTAGATACAGATGTATTTTAAAATACAAATTGAATAACAAAATATAGAAATTAATGTACACAAAATATATGTATATGTGCCTGTGTTTTTATATTTAAACATGTATTAAACATTATATAAAATATAATACAGTAAAAATATGTAATTATAAAATGTGTAATAAGTATGATGTATAATATAATTATTATAATTTTGAATTTATTTCACACTGTACCAGAACTACTCTTTATTTTATTAAATAATGTTTGAAAATACTATTCCAGTGGTACAAAATATCTAATTGTGTAGATAAACAGAACTTTTTTTAACTGTATATGAGTCACCTTTATTTATTTCATTCAGGTTTAAAACATGTTCACTGTTTTAATTCTACATTATAGCAAAAAAAAAAAACAGTGAACAATAAATTCTCTTCAAAATAGAATTATATAATTTTGTAACAGTGATAAAAAACTAAGTGCAATGATCAAAAATAATTTTTAAAAAATATGAAATATTAAATAAAGAATTTCATTGGTATTATTTTTTATCTGAAAAGTCAATCATCTTTAGAAGAAAGTAAAAAACAAGAAAAAATATTTCCTATTTCCCACTAATGTAACCTCTTCAGTTCTTTATTCCCTTATGTAGATCCAAGTTTCCATCTGGGGTCTTTTATCTCCACCTAACGATCTTCCTTTAACATTTCTTGTAGTGTAGCTCTCAATAATTCTCTCAGCTTATGTTTATCTGAAAATATCTTTATTTCACCTTCATTTTCAAAGAATAGTTTTGCTAGATAAAGAATTCTGGGTTTATAAAATTTTTCTTTAGTCCTTTAAATATGCCATTTCACTGTCTTCTAATGGATTCTTTTTGATGCAAAGTCTATGTTTTGTTTTGCTTTTTTGCTAAGGAAGATTCACGCTGAGCTAACATCATTGCCAATCTTCCTCTTTTTTTACATGAGCTGCTGCCACAGCATGGCCACTGACAGATGAGTGGTGTGGTTCCATGCCCGGGAACTGAACCCAGGCTGCCGAAGTGGAGTGTGCCAAACATTAAGAACTAGGCCATCGGGGCCGGCCCTGGTTTTCTTATGTATGTCCCTGTCTATGTAGGTATCTTTTTTTTCTTTTACTGGATATGCTGAAACTTTTCTTTATATCACTGAGTTTTCAGAAATTTGTTTATGATGTGTCTTTATGTTTTAAAAAAGTATTATACTGCTTAGGTTTCCTTGAATCTCTTGGTTGTTTGAATTTATACTTTTTATTAGATTTGAAATTTTTCTCAGCCATTATTTCTTCAAATATATTTTCTGTTCTTTTCTCATTCCCCTTCTTCTGGGACTCCAATTTCTTGTGTATTATGCCACTTGATAGAGTCCCACAGGTCACTGAGGCTTTATTCACATTTGTCAGTCTTTTTTCTC